ATTCGGAACAATCCTAAAATCCCGCTTGTCGGACCTGACTGCCACGGGGAGTGACTCTCAGGATTGCCCTCAGTCCAATGCTGATGTTGAATGCTTATTCTCCCCCGACGAAAGAGAGGGATCGCTGTCCTTCATATTGCGGAGCTCAATCTGGAGAGATGCCTCGTCATACAATCAAAGGCGAGTCGCTTGTACGAGGAGGAATGAATCGACTCGTTATCTGCAAACGTCCAACGAGAACAAGAGTTCCCCTGTGGGTGCGCTCCCGAGTGGGCTGCGCCGGAATGTCCGCCGGACCCGTGTCAGTTTTTCGCCGGAGGTCAAATTGTGTCAAACGTGCGGTCAAATTGAAGCTCCTCAGACGCGGCGAGATGATATCAATCTCCAGCAGAAACTCCTAAGGCATCATGATTATTCTGGGACAGTGAAAACAATCATTCGATTCCCGGGGCGAGACGTCAGGAGGATTATATCGAGAGAAGCACCGCTGCATCCACAGCGGCTGGGGCATAGCTCGGAGGCGTGACATGACTGCCATTTCAGTCTTATGAATGACGCACCGTAATGAACCGATCAGGGTTCATGAGCAGACCCAGGCGTCGCCGTGCTCTATCAGTCTTGGCGTAACACCGTCCGCAGGTGAGTTAGTGCCGGCATTGAAGATACCGATAGCAGACACATTGCTGTACTGCTGCGGAAGTTTCAGCCCCACCAGATGTTCGTAGAATATTCCTAACGGCTTTTCGACGCGACCGCGACCCTGCTGTAGACTTCGGCTGCCCAAGGTATGGTACACCCGGGAACGACGCACATATTGTTTGGGAATCATTCAGGAAGAAATGGGAGTCTCATGGAAGAAGTCACCGAGTCGCTCATCGACGTCCCCCCCATGAAATTCGCCTATAGAATCAGACTTTTCCCTGACATAGCACAGGGAGTCACCCGAGGGACGAGGGCGACCCGGAACGGGTGGGATGACGATGTGTGAACGCAATACGTATCGCTCCTGAATTGAAAGGAATCATAGCGCATGTGAAAGATCAAGATGATTCAATCGACCATCTTCTGTGAACCCTCTGATTTAAACATGGAAGCTCTCCCAATGTGATGGGGTCTGACGGAACCTCATGGGGAGGGTCGGAAACATTGAATGAGCTCCTCGCTCTCGATTTCCGCAGGGCCCAATCAAAAATTATCCCCAAGGGAACGCAGATTTTAGAAGGATGATATGAATCGACTTAGATTAGAAGAATTGTCTTCAGAGCCTATTGATGCAGGTAGTCGAAGACTCCTGGGCGGAAAAGAGGGTTCTCCAGGCGTTTCTTGCTCAGTGAAAAAGTTGGCGAGTCGAAATCACTTCGGGAGGGAGCTCATTGCAAATCGCTGCCGTCTCTTACAAGGGGAGTGCCGAACATGTAACACGCCGATCGGGCTGGAACTTTGGTCATAGAATCCCCACCCCGAGAGAAGTTTAACCCTAGGATATTATCTGCGTATGGCCACTTTAAGGGTGTTTAAAAATTTTTCGAAAATCCGCCCTTAAGCATTGACTCTATGGGAATAATGGAAAATACTATGAACAATGGACGAATATCGGATCTGCCCGAGATATCCGAAGACATAATATGTTTTTGGATCGCCGGATTCAAATTTGGCGCGTCTTCATGAGTGGTATCGACTCCCAACTCCTTCGAAACAGCCAAATAATTAGAGCCAAATTTCTACATAAACGGAATGGAGCAATTTATTCTGACGAATTCAGCATACGTGGTAGTCCACGAAGAAGCACTTCACACATAGATTCTGCTTGCAATGTATGCATTTTATGAACGGAATACAAAAATCTGTTTGTAACTTGCACCAAGTCTGGGAAGTTGGACAGGGGACTGATGAAGATCTGGTGTCAGGAAATTCTAAAGGAAGTTCTGGATTGCACCCAAGTGGATCGATGTGTGCTTTATCTCGATTCCTGGGGCGGACAGCGAGATCAGAGCTTGCTCCAACTGGACGACGAAGAAATCTGCCTTAAGACACTACCGCCGGGGTCAACACCGTTGATTCAGCCGCTGGACGTTTACTGCTTCCAACTGTGGAAGAATTTCGCGAAGCGAATGACTCGAGCATGTGGCTTGATCGGATGCCGCATCGACCGCCGCGATGATGTCCTTCGACTCCAATCACTCATCTATAATCATTTTCAGCACCCTGATTTCCGAAGTATGTGGCTGTACGGCTGGAACAAGTCCGGCTTCGATGTGCCGGAGATACCCTTCCTGAGTATCGTCGAGATGTTGTTCTCGGTCATCGAAATTTGTTCCGGTGATTCATGTCGCGGAATTCCGTTCATCATATGCATACATTGCAAGCAGAATCTATGTGTGAAGTGCTTCTTCGTGGACTACCACGTACACTGAATCCGTCAGAATAAATTGCTCCATTCCGTTCATGTAGAAATTTGGCTCTAATTATTTGGCTGTTTCGAAGGAATTGGGAGTCGATACCACTCATGAAGATGCGCCAAATTTGAATCCGGCGATCCAAAAACATACTATGTTTTCGGTTATCTCGGGCAGATCCAATATTCGTCCATTGTTCATAGTATTTTCCATTATTCCCATAGAGTCAATGCTTAAGGGCGGATTTTCGAATTTTTTCAAACACCCTTAAAGTGGCCATACGCAGATAATATCCTAGGGTTAAACTTCTCTCGGGGTGGGGATTCTATGACCTAAGTTTCAGCCCGATCGGCGTGTTACATGTTCGGCACTCCCCTTGTTAGATGGTGGTCGAATGGGAAGTTTCCGCGGAAACGCTCGATTTGCGGCACGCGGAATGTCAAGATTAGTCGAGGCAAGACGGGCAAACAGGAGCAGAGAGTCTAAGCACCTAGCCCGATGATGGATCAAGGGCTTTTAAGAGCAGGAGTAGATAGGACGTGTGAGCGGGTGATGGCTTGAAATCTCAATCGACATTCACTCTCCGTTTTCCTTCAACGAGTTTCTCGATCGTGAGGTTATGCGGCATTCCTCAACCCTTGTCATTTCCGCTAGCAGGGATATCAAATATCAAATCGACCCGGAATTAATCCTCCCGGAGAGTAACGGACTAGCGATGGGGAGAGGAACCCCAAGTGAAGAATCGTTGCGGCTCGAGGAGATGAAGATGAAAAGTTCAGCGAAATTGAAGTGATTACCAAGGAGCACGTCTCGGAAATCCACAAGAGATGATCTGCAGAGGGGATCTCAAGCTATTCGGAAAAGACTAGGCGAGTAAGACTACTATCGTTGCGCGTCTAGATCGATTACGCGCCGGAAGAATCTGGCCCAGAAAACTCGGCATAGGGACCATTCAGGACCGCCCGATTGTCTTTTCCTGAACAGGCCCCCTCCATCAGGGAGGCACCCCGGTGAGGATTATGCAAAATCCTGACCTACACCTGTCCGAGATGGCAGTCTCAGTAAATTCTGAAAGCTCCCTTCGGAAGTCCTGCGATTCACCTTTGATATCTAATCCCGCGAAGGAAGAGGGGAGGGGGAGTAGGAATCTTTAAGGTACCCAGCTTTATTAAGGAATGAGATCCACGGAACAAGTTATGGCGAAAGCGCGGTTTGTTTTCCGATGCGCAGTGAATAGTCACATGGCTTGTGAGCTATTAATAAGCCCTTGTCTTGCGCCCTTCTATCCGCGAGGATAGCCAACATATCGGAGCCCACCGGTCTTTCGAGCTGCTCAGGCCTCCGCCCGGATGGCCAAACACTCTCGCCTTGGAGGGCAGGTAAGGCTCTCGTCTGGGATGCCACGGTGTGGGACACTCTCGCTCCCTCTCATAGGCCCTTGCGGTCCGCTCGGGAGGTGCGATTGCAAGGCTCGCGGAGAGGAAAAAGCTGGACAAGTATCAGGTTCTTGAGAGCCGCTTCATTGTGCAACCAGTTGCGATTGAGACTCTCGGAGTTTTCGGTGAGGGCACAGAGGCCTTCCTCCGAGATCTGGGTGCTCGTATCGAGTCCGAGTCGGGCGATAAGAGGGCCACGGAGTTCCTCCTTCAGCGCTTGTCGATAGAGGTTCAGAGAGGGAACGCCGCTGCTGTTCACGGCTCAATGCCTTCGGGTGACGGGTTGCCCGGAGTAGGGTGATCATACCTTATTTACTACGTTAGAAAGATCAAGAATAAAAATATACATGGCTTGTGTAGTCATGTATATATATAGGTAGCTTGAATAGTCACATGCGCGACGTCAAAGTGTCGTGCATCGAGAATCTAGATGGCATCGTGCATCTAGATCGCTGCGAATCGACGCGCTACCACAGAAAAGCGGAGAATACCGAAATCCGACGACCTCTGTCCTCCCCTCTAATTTTCTCCAGAAATATGAGGAAGTTCGTTAAGCGGGTCAAACTGGTTCGTAATGCGGACCAATGGTGTCAATTCAAAATGGTGTCAATTCAAAATGGTTCGGTATCTGGAACATTCGTTATCCGAGGCGTTCGTAAATCGGGACCCCACTGTACTAATCCAAGAACCTATTCCTTCTTCGGGACCCTATTCTTTTTTCAGGAAGCTATTCCTCCTTCCGGACCCTATTCTTTTTTCAGGGAGCTATTCCTTTTCCGGGGACCTATTCCTTCCTCAGGAACCTATTCCTTCTCCAGGAGCCTAAAGCTGTTCCAAGAACCTGTTCCTCTTCCAGGGACCGATCTCTTTTTCATGACCCTATCCTTTTTCTGAAGCCTATTCCTCTCGACAGCCTATGCCATGGGTATCATGAATAACCGTCTCAGAAGAAAAATCACGCTTGAAAGCTCGCTTCCCTGAACCTCGATTTCGGTCTGATGCTGCGAGGGCCGCCCACGGCTCACTGAATGACTTTTTTGCTGTGACCTCGGAGCTCCTCTCGCTCAAGTTTCCGAGTTCCTCGACGGCATCGAAAGATTCGGAATTTACACTCCAGCTCCTACCTGGAGACAGCTGGGGGAATTCAGGGTAACGAACATCACGGCGCTTCTCTCGATCATCTTCCAACTTTATTCTTCGACTTCTCTACCTATAGGATCCGAGCTTGTGAACGTTTATGGCGTCGTTTACGAGGCTTCTAGACACGCTGAGGTTTCTTTTCGCAGAGGTTCGTGCCGGTTGACTCATTATCTCGTATGCGATTCTTCCTAAAATTATGAATGTACAACGTTTCTATCCGGCAATGTATTGACTTAGATCCCCAATTTGTAGAATGATCGTAAAAAAGAATAATCCGTCATCGAAACCCTATTATCACTCTGCCGATCACAGGGGTAACCCACTATCCGAGAGTAATTGTAGACATCCTCCGGTACAAACTTTCTCTCTCGTTCGGAGGATCGACTGGCTTCTCCGCGAACACCACTGAACAATCACTATGCAATCGATATAAATCAACGAAGATATGCATGCCTGCGAGAATGGGAGAGGTATCGAACAGTTCCATGATTCTAGAGCTCTGACTATCATCGCTAGGGGTTTTTGACACTTGAATCCACGCATTGCTTTGTGGTCGACAAAACGCGATCGGCTCTCAACTCGGTTGCTGCCGCTGAACTCGGTAGAATCTCCTGGTTTTTTTTTCAAGCACCGGCGAGAGTGTTCAGACTTCGATCACGGGCAGGAATCGATGAGTTCCAGGTAATCTCGCTCGCTGCATTGATGAGCTTCTATAAGGGCTCGACGAAATTCGAAGGGAATATTCCCTCACGTTTGTCTCCTAAGACGTGACCCTGCCACCATTCTTCCGAAATTTTCTCCGTCACCTGCAAGGCAGAAGTATGAGTACCGGAGAAGTACCTGAGTGCCGGAACGACGAATTCGGAAGGACAAGCAAAAACTCGCTGCGCTGCTCACCCGTATCTTATCTCCAGCTCTGATGGTGAGGTCATCCGTTTGTTGGGCCTCGAAGTCGAAAATGCAGACATAAACGTTGGAGTCGGCGAGAGTCTGCGGAGAAAACTGAATGTTGATCTCTGCCAATGCTGGTATATGGAGTGTTTATTATTGCTAATGATAATTAGTTTGAGGGTGAGAAAGCGTCGCTCGCCCATGCGTCACGCATACAGCATGGTTGGCATCAGGATCCACATCTCACCGTCGAATTTTGGGAATTCGTCGTGTCCGTGAGTTGGACGAAACCTGCCGGGAACTGACCAACTTCACCTCTCGCGTTCCTCCCCATCAACCAATCCTTGTTGATCCGTGAGAGCACACTTATAGTTTCTCCCTCCTAGAAATCGAGGTTGTCAATTAGCTCGCGTTATTCGATGCAATTCAGGTATTTCACTCGTGGGAGGCTCAGATAAAATCCACAGATTCGATCCGAGAGACTCAGCAGAGAGCAGAGTGCATCGTTCGGCGAGAATTCTGTTCCTCACCTCGAATCCGAGATCGCCCTCTTGCTCCGGAGAGAAGGCGAAAATGGCGATTACGGGTCGACCGTCCGATGATTTAGTCGTCGTTTGGATCGGTTTCTTCGCGCCCTCAGCTCCATCGAGGTTTTCACAATTGCTTTCTATTTCTTTGAGAGATTCAGTTTCGGAGCCGCTTTCGGAACCAATTTGGACGAAGCTCGCCGGGAATATACCGTATTTCGAGTCTGCGAAAATAATAGTTTCAATCCACCGAACGAGGAGAGCGCACGCGTAGAATTTCGACATCGGAAGCTGGACTCCGTTCGGAACTCCGGAATCAAGCCAGACCTACTGATGTATAACACCGGTTAACCTCGCCGGGCCCCAGAATCAAGCGGCTCCCTCGTACCGATACCGGCACTAGGTCAGTCGTAGATAGTCCGTCGCGCCGCTATCGTCGCGCACTCGGATATCGAGTAGGTCGCGCATTCGGAAGTAAGCAATTCGTGACCAAGTTAAAGAAGAGGAAACAGCCAATGAATCAAGCAGCTAACGGCCGATCAGTCATCGAATCGCACGGTGTTCGGAGCAACGCGGTTTCCGAACGATCGGCCTTTGAGCAAAGAACGCTAATAGCCTCGAAGCAGTAAATATGTTGTCGTTGCGATATGGCCTGAACTTTTCGTAGTATGGACAGACATTTCTCTTTCAGCGAGCTGATTATGATCCGTATCCGGGCGGAACATTCGACATCGCGTTCCGGATCCTGTCGGAATTCAGACTTTTCGGGACTCATAGGATTCCAGTAGTATTCCACAGGATCATTCTCAAATTCACAACTCACGATTAGCCGAACGCGGCTCAGCAATGGTCCGGATTCGTGTTAATGAATGGAACAAATGAGCAGACTGCATTGGCCATCGACAGGAAACGCTCAGGCTCACTCATCGCAGCGACAAACAATTTCTGTTTGGGGATGGACGGATGACCGCTCGCGTGAGAACGCTCCGGAGGATAGACTCGAATTCTGATTTTCTGTCGCCTCGCTACCTTCGAGCAAATAGGCTCCGACGGCACAATCCTCGGATTCCGAATAAATCCAGCGTCGACCACTCCACATATTCTTCCGGCATCCGGACTAAAGGAGTCGAATGATTCTGAGATCCAACGAGGGACCAAGTGTGTCCGGAGGGCAAAAAGGAACCCAATCGACGGGGAGCTCACCTTTTAGTGCGCATCCATAGAGCCAATCCTGATCGCATCGAGACGTGACCAGGAGACGATCTCCAGCGCTGAATGATAACTCGTCCTCGTGCTGAGCTGCGAAATCGTAAAGCGCGATGGCTTGCTCAGAATCCTCGTTCTGGCTGGTCTGGTTCGGGAGAGGAGAGACCGATGCCACGGGTTTCTCATGAATGTATCGCTCCGTCTCGGGTTTATCGTCCTGTAAAAAAGTATGTCATCAGTATTCATCGACTCTGCTGAACATCTCCCGTCAACTCGGGTTAGGTCAATAGTCAGGTTAGGGGTCTGCGAATTGCTCGAGCCCTTTAGAATCGACAGGTCCTCAAAAGCTCGAGAGATTCCAAAACCAGAATATTGCGCTGCAGAGTTGGGTTGGCGAAGACTGAAGGTTCATCAAGAATGGGTTAAGTAAGTCGCGTTATGATCCGAAGTTAGATTATCTATTACTTCTCGGTAATCGCTGCCTCACGTTCCTGTAGCACAGCTCTCGGGATACGCATTTGATCGCGGAGTTCCCCTCTCCCGAGCCGCTCTGGATCGTCTACATCCGCGGCACATGCTGACAGTTCCCCATAGGATCCGTCAGAACTCGATCGCAACAGTATGACGAGCCGTCAAAAAGCTATTCGGCGGTAAACGAAGCAGAACGGCCTCAGGAGATCCGGGTCATCTGACGGTACAGAGCTGTGATACACCATTGGCGCGACACCCCATCACAGGTTTGACATCCCGACAGGATCGGGAGGAGGATGACGAAAAGTTCAATTCACGCTCGGATGAAGGGAACAAGCCTCCTGAGTTAGAAGAATTCACTGCCGGCTCGTAGTGTGCAAAGGGAAAGCGCTCTTCGATGATCGTGGAGCCAAGGAAAGGAGAAATGGATTTCCTTGATGACCTTCGACGCACATGTCCGAATTTCATGTCGATGGGTAGCTATTGTGGGTCGCTCGTCGAGCACGATTCCGTGCTATTGATGTTCGGACGATCTCGATTTCCGCCGGATTCGAGTTTTCCGCTAACGAGCGATGAGCTCTGCTTCTAACGAAGCATCTAAATCTGTCTAAGGGCGTAGCTCGGCTTATGGAGGATTTGTGTTCCCGACTCCTTCGAATTTCCAGCACGACTGACTTAGTCACAAATTGTCCAAATACTGCTGTGAGAACACGCAGTCAGCGAATCGAACGCATGGAAACGAATGTTGAAATCAAATCTGAGAATTACGTCACACGCTTTTCCGTTGACTCACATCAGATGAGCAAATAATGGATAAATGTCAAGCTGCTCCGGCGACTCGCGATCTCCGAATGACAAGAAGGAGCGAAACTCGGGCCCGAGTGTTACGATTGGTGATTTTGAAAAGATCAATCCGGGTCGGGTTGGCGGTAAACCGAATTATTGGCTGGAAGCAAGGACTCGAATACTGATCGGAGAAGGGGACTACCCAGGAGGGCTTCTGAACGTGAGCTCGGCTAGGCACCGTTCGGGGAGCGAACCAATGGCATTGTTCAATTATCACTGCCAGAGCGAGGCGGTACGCTACATTCCACGAGGAGCTTCATCAGGGATGCATCCATACTCCCGCCCGACTTCGACACAGATGATCCGATAGAACCTATACTTTCATGAATATAACCCCGGAAGAGAGCTAAATGAGGAGCGAAATGATCTGAATTCCAAAAGATGAGATCCAAGCTCCAGACTCCCTATAGCAATGAGCGGAAGTGTTTCATCGACATTTTTTCAGGCGAGTCACGAAAACCAGAAGACGGACTCCGATAGTTTCCATTCATCGCCAAGGAGCGGCTTGGCAAACGAGCTGACTGATGTTGAGCTGAACTGCACATGGTCAAAGTCGAGACATCTGTAGAACTTTGACATCGCAAATGTCAAAAACGTTTCGGAGCCAATAGAGCTCCTCGCTGGAAGGCTATTAGCATTCCGGCTGAGCAGTTTTCGGCAACGGTGCCGACAAATCTACTATGGTGGAGCAGACTCGATGAGCTATTGACGAAAACTCAGAAATTCTGAAGCATTCCGGGTGGTGGCGACGGCACGGACGGGATTCGATGGAGAGCGGAACAGAAAGAAAGATTCACTGGAGTCATGACAGAGGGACATGAAGCACAGAGCCAAAGAAAATAAAATTTCGATTTCCAAAGTCAAGAAAACCTACCCAGGTAGGCCACTGGGGATAGTCAGGCTCAATTGCCTTGACATCCTCGATATTTTCTTCGATTTTCGGATCGCCACGAGAAATTCTTCTCATCGGCATACTTTTCCTCGACGCACCATCGACAATGTTCTTATGGCCACGGGTATGTATGGCTCTCCTTCGCCGATGATTGCGACAGGTGAAGCGCTCAAACAGCGTCGAACAAAAACAGCAGACCATCGTTCACCTAGTTCATCCTTATGCAGAGTCGTAGTTCATTGGTCCCTCCATGCACTCACGCGGGCTCGACAATATGAGGGATTTAAAAAGCGATTGAATATCGCCGATCTTCCACAAGACATTGATATCACCGCGGAACGATCGGGGTTGCACTTAAGAAGCTCCCAGCAGGACAGATAAGAGAGGTTTAGAACATCAAAAAGCGCATCCTCCGAAACGCACTGCGAGCGCCGCGCCGTCAACATGAATCGTACTCAGCGACTCTTGAATCTACGTTTGATTTCTCGACACCAAACGCCTAGACATGAGACGTGTGCGAGAGGAACACGGTCCCGGGCGCCGCCGGGGAGAGGGCGACCGCTGAACGGTAATCACAATCACGCTACGCTCCGCGCGCGGACATTCAGAACGCGGCTTTCGCTGCTGAGGACACGCAGCCTCTCAGAATTTCGTAGTTGACATCGGAGAGAGGAACCCCGTTCTTCTGCCGCAATGAAGGCGGTGCCCTCGTCGTAGTTGTCGCATCCTAAAAACTCAGCGCCTTAGGATCAGACCAGCCCGAAGCGTGAGCGAAGGAGGAACGGAATAGTGTACCGACGTGGAGCTCTTTCATACTATTTGTCGGGGGAACGGTAGGAAGTGTGAGTCTGGCAGCCTAATGGGTTCAGCCCGAGGGAGCGTCCAGAGTCATGTTCGCGACACTCCGCGAAGACGGACCATCATGTGATTATCAAGCGGGTTGACACGGTCATTTTCCTCCAATGAAAATTCCTTGTCTTGTAGGCAGCGCCCAAGTCTGGTCGAACCAGACAGCCATCATCGGATAGGATGTCGAATGAGCGGTAATTCCCGCGAGCATTGCGAGCTTCGCGGCAGCCTTCGCATGGCAATCGCATCGGAAACTGGCGAAACTCAACCCGCCGAGAAAATGCGCATCCGCAGAGAGCCTTCCACTGTAACCTTGCAGTCACCGGCGGAAATGGTCCCCGTGAGCTCGAGCTGAGCGCACCAGATGTTTTCCAAATTCACAGCTAGAGCGCGGCATGTCCGTTCTACAGCACCTCCCAGACGCATCGACTCACTCGCCAGCTCGCACGACAATCCTTTGATACTTTTGCCCCGCCGTGATAGCATGATCGACGACAACATCGAGGAAAACAATCGAAATGAGCTGTCTCTAGCTGACCGTTTCCTGTAGAATGAGAGAAGTAACTTACACCAGTGCTCGTCGAACTCGAAGGCCGATGTCTGTATCCTGAGTCTTGCTGGCTTTCTGGTTCGGAGTCCTGTTGCGAATCCTCGAGAGGCGTAAGGACCTCGACGGCATCTTTACGGACGAGTCCGTCCTGATCGTCCAATCGTCCAAGATAATAGCTAAGAGGAGAAGGAGAGCTCGAGCTTCGATTTCTCAAGGATATATGTATACCGCAATTGGAACCAGGTAGCACCACGCGACTGCCGCTCCTGATAGCACTGAGTGAGAGCCGACGAGCCCCGTGCAGCGAGAAACAACTCTTTCCGGGGCTCGGTTCACGATTCGTTCAATGAGCTGTTCGGGAAAATCTGATTGGGACGCCAAAGGGCGAGGAGAACTTACAAATCGTCGTGCTCAGCCAAGAGCTCGATCAGCTCGTATTGACTATAAGAAAGTTCTCCCTTTTTCGGATTCGTATAGTCAGCCAGAGCCATTGCGCAAGGTTGAGTGGTCACCACGGACGTATCCAACGGATTCAATTGCGGCGCCGGACATCGAGGGGGAGGTGGGGAGTTTTCGTGGGGTGTAGACCATTCTTCTCGGATTTGACTGCAATCGAGAGAACATGAGAACCTCGGAATGGTTCCAAAAGAATCATCCTTGGAATCATCCTTTCTACGGCGCTTAAGCTGAGATTTCAGGTACTCGAGGATTCCGAGGTGCGAAACAAGATCTCTACCAACCTTATTCTCCCCAGGGCTTCTGGAGTTCTCATGACGGGTTGACTGAGTTTCGAGGTCGTGACCGGAAGCGAAGCTTTTCTTCGAGGTTCGCTTCTGAAGGGATCGAATGGCGACGAGCCGAAATTGTCCACTGATAGACTCGTTGAGATCATCGGAGGAATATCCATGTCCAACAGCGACGCTCCGCCCGTTCTACTCGGCTCAGGGAAGTCCATATCGAGCAAACTCTGAACATCTGGGAATAGAGATTTCGCTCTTAGCAAGCCGATCGCAGCAAGATGTTCGAGAAGGCTACCGAGCGGGCCGAATCAACTCGATTTTCTAACGAAACTCGCCCTCGCGAATATCGAAAACCCGCATCCACAACGATTCTCGAACGTTTCGACGCATTAGGTGTGCTTCGGAATGAGGGCTTGGGAACGGAAGGGAAGTATGATTCCAAACGCGGAGGATTTAATTCGGCTGGATACCTCTAAGCATTCCATTGCACTGCACCACTTCGGGTATCGGCTGTCGGAAAAGTCCACAACGCCTCAGGAACTGCATGCTGCACGGTTTCGTGGGGTATTCGTTTGACGCGCACAATATCAAAACTGTAGATGCATTTCTAAAACTTCCTGGGCCACAGCCCGGACTCCCGGATGACGTTCATCGATGTTTCAGATAGTCCACATGAGCCTAATCAACGTATTCGGGATGTTTTTGTTCGACACTGTCGAACAGACGTAAGCGCCAGAGCGCGACCAGGCAGACCCGTCGTTTGACTCGGTCGACAGCAGAAAGCGGACCGGCGACACAGCTACGCTGCTCTGCAGATGTGAAGGAAATCCTAAGAAGTCGTGTGTTCTGGAACCTCAGATTTCAGGAAGACAAGGACCACTCTGTGGAGGTACCATGCTCTATCCTGCCATCCAAGCGACGATCAGGGCAGGGAGAACACGTGCTCGTCCAAATTCAGCATAGCAGTGCTCGGAAGTCTCCCGATGTTGTGTCGCCATCGCCATGGCACCGGCAGGGGCGAATCCGTGAAAAGCTTATTGTTCCTTACGGTCTCGCGAGTCCCTCGATCGGAGCACGTGGAGTAACTAGACAATGATTTTCGGTGTTCTAAGCGATGTGCTCTGGGACTCATGTGCTTGAAAAGTCACCGGGAAAACGAGGGCGTTTTGTAAGTAACGTTTGTAAGTAACGGCCTTGACGTCGTGCGTCACAGAGGAGGGAACAAATTCATCGATTGATTCCTCGTTCTCGCATCGGTCGAAGTCTCTGACCGGACTGGAATCTCCTCTCCAGAGACCCTTACCCATATCACAGGACCTGCAATCGAGTGGGCGAACCATGGACCGGAGGAAGCTCGAAAGTTGGAATCTCTGCGAAGAATCTCCTGCTGGAACCCTCGCGTATTTCCTACAGACCCAGCAGCCTCCTCACCGACTATACGAATATCCCGGTTGCTAAAACTGAACTCACTAGACGATCCATTAGTTTTTGATGGCGCCACACAGCCTGGGGAAGTCGGCGGCGTATCGAAACTTATCAAAGTTCCTGTAGCGACTTGTGAGGCGGAAAAATTCGTGGAACCCGCCGGCGGCATCGGAGCTTGCTTCTTCCCCCGAGTCGGCTGAGACAGGGCTTGGTTGGTGTAGCTCCCCCCAAAGCGGCCGTTCCCCATGGTCGCGGTGAAAAACTCTCCGTTCGCATTGGAAGAAGCCGATTTCGATGAAGATTTTCCTGGAATTAGGGGAATTCGTCACTTGGATTGCTCCCGAAACAAGACGCGACGGTGCCGACGAAGGACTGAAAACTTGTCTACGAACCACCCTGCTTGAATCGAGTCTGAAACTCATGAGAGAAGGGGAACTTCGGAGCGAGAAACATCCAGAAACGATTCAAAGACGGTCGGAAGCTTGAGACCCAAGAGTCCAGTATGCAGCGAGTTGTGAAGCATATCAAGCGCCCTTCCGAGCCATCCAGAAGTACAATTTTTAGCTCCCTTCATGATTCTTTAGAAAAATCGATCATAGCACGAACAGAGTCCTCGAAAGGGTAAAGGGTGGACTGCCGGGATGCGGTCTTACCGAAAATTTTGACTTTCCTAAGGGCTTTGGTATTGATGTGAAGCCCGCGTTGCTTTGAGGATTTGTTTATTGGCGGCGGAGGAACCGGAGGCGGGACGCCCCGATTCAGAGATGAGGTTCTAGTAGGTACAAATGAGGCATCCATGAGGGGCGGGGCTGGAATGTCGAATAGGAATAATGTCACATTAATATTTCCCGCGGGGACTGTAGAGGTGGATAATGAGGGGCGAAGGTCGATTAGGAATTTTCCATATCTTTCTCAATGGATTCATCGGTAACTCGAAGGACAGAATATGGAAAGGTCGAAATACTCACGCGGCCGGGGTGGAGCTTTTTTCTTTGGTGTTTCGACCATTTTTGGCCGAATGACGGTTGGAATCTTAGCCACACCGTCTCTCGCTTGCCGCTGATGATTCCTGCTGTTATTGTTTCGATCGTTTTTTGCGTGGCTAGGTACTGGAGGAGGAGGAGCTGCTCGGCTTGGTTTATTCGACATCTGGAAGGAAGCAGACAAGAGAGAGGTCAATACACAGGGAGCCATACGACAATGGGATCGCGACATCTCGAACGAACTTGCTCGATTTTCGCGTCCAATCAGAAGCTTCTCCATTGCGCGATGACCGAATTACAGGACTCAGAACTTGAGTAGCGGGTATCAGCACCGCCTCTGGAGAACAGCCGAGCAAATAAAGCGCATGCGGAGCGATAGCTCTCCCTTTCCGGGAACACAGGCTTGTCTTTTCTAGCAATCTACACTTGAAGGGAACCTCGGCGCTGATTTGAGGATATCATTCAAAATCACACACTTTCATCGTATCTCTCTGCTATCGCGTCGTTTTCTGTGATATCGGATCGGAAAATGCTATTCGCTAATTGTAAGGGCATTGACAACAACGCAAAAACATTGAATTATCCTAATCCGCTTGGGTAAAAATATAATCCCTGCGTCACGAAGGTCGAATAACGCGGAAAACCGCATGGCAGGCTCCTTGCCGACGGACTCCTGCCTCCCATTTCCCGACAGGATTCCGCTGGAGACTGATCATCTAATGCCTTCCGGAACAGAGTGCGAGCGAAATAAAGAAGCGATAGCCCTGGGCATCTCCGCTCGACTGCAATGGAGGGACGATGACAGCTCCTCAACGCCAATGCCCGGATGGGAACGATGACGGAGATGCTTCCCTCCCTTGCGGGTAAGCTCAAGTACAAGGACGGAGCAATAATTGTCTCAAAAGAAACGATCAAGGGGTCTCAAGGCGGATGGAGTTTGAAAAGCGAGGGAGGCTAGAAATTCTCACGAGCCCCGAGAGATTTTCGGGGATGGATGAGTCGAGCTCTTTTCATGCTGGTGCGGTGGAGAGAGCCTCCTAGTCAGCGTGCTATACATCGATCTCAGACTATGTGAAGGGGTTGACGAACCTTGACAATTCCAAGCTCGGTCGTCGTTGCCGAGTATAATTTGAAGTTGTACATCGACATCGTGTACTAAGCTTCGGAACTGGGACACTTCGTACAGTACACTGCCACAGCGCTGCAATTCACGTACAATAGGAAGTCGCGAGAATGAGATCAGAGGCAGCTGCCTTGATCATGATCACACAACAAAACGAATGATCCTTCGGTATCAATCGTCTCTCAAACGCATGCTGTCCCAATGACGTCACGCAAGCGCTACGCCATCTAGCGCCAAACAAGCAGTTCGCCATCCACCCAGTAAGTCACCACTCATCTACCGATTCGGTCGAAGTGAGCGCAGACGAGCCGTGGGGTCTCGGGCTGGAATTCAGTCAGAGGGTCCGGATATCGAGGGCTGTGTGATGGGTCAATCGAATAACAGACAGTCAGTCTCGAGGCGTGAGACCGACAAACTCGGGACGACCATGTGACAGATCGACGGACCTGGCAAGCGCGATATGCGGCAGAGGAATTATTATTCATGTTGTCTCGAGAAGAACGAGTTCACATGAGCTATGAACAGGCAGCTGATCTCGTCTTGGCTTCCATGCACAGCTGAAAGGGTCCTCACGGTATCTCTCCTCATCAAAGGAACGTCTTGAGATGATGAAACGCATTCTCCACATTGGAACCTGTGCTAACAACATTTCGACGAAGAACTCCCCGCGCTCCGCCGCTGAACGGTGGCGGACTGGAAAAACAGGAATCGCTTATGGCGCCAAATGTCTTTTCCGAGTAGGAGCACCGCGGAAGCATCGAGCGATTTTGAGCGTGATCGCAATCGATCGACAGCATCTCTGAACTACAGCGATATTGAATTATTCTCAAACGACGTCGGGACCGCTCTACGGAGCGCGACAGAACACATTGAACCTGTGAACTGTGAGTTAGCCTATTCATTCAACCCGCGCGCCGCCACGTCCATGAGAAGAGCAACGCGTGAATGAGCTCTCCGGAAGATTCCCGTTGACAATGGAGCTCCAATCTGTCTTCGGACACGGAGCGAGTGTGAGAATTTCTGCGACAGTCCAACGCGAGCCTCCAGCTCCACGGGATATTCTCGCATCCGCATCGGTCGACAGTGGATTGTCCAGGGCAGTCGATCGAGAACTAAAATCCAGTGCCAGTAACCGAGAGCGGCGATCGCTCTCGAGGTCGACTGTGCAACGGAATCTGGATCTCGCATTCACTCAATAATTGAGAGCTTTACTTTCTAGCCCCTCCAAGTGGATTCTGGAAATCTCGATCTGTCCGAGCCATCGATAGACGTCGGCGAGACGGAATCAGATCGTAGCGTCGATTGGCCTGATTGAATCAGATGGAGAACGTCGAAGAAACGCCTCCATTGCCTCAATCGACAAGTTTTCTTCCTTCCTCATCACAATGCCAGTCGTGTTAGAATGATTAGTCTTACAGTGACCAGAATGCTCGGAGAAACTCGCCTTTGCGGCCGGCCGATCGGCGCATGGCTTTTTATCCGTCATCATGCGGTCGCTAGAATCGCCTACCTAACAACAAGTCGGCCCCAAAGAAAGTTGAGAATCACGTCATCGACAAGTCGGCTATGGTCCTGAGGAACCGAGCGATGGCGTAAATGCACGCCCCGCTGCCTCTGTTTAACTTGGGAATCCGCGTTCCGGAAAGAAAATCGTAACGGCAGCTTAGCATCGGCTTCCAGCAGCGTCGAGAAAGGGAAACGGTTCCCGTTAAGCTAGTATTGGCTGAGGAGCGAGAAACCGGACGATGTCTTCATTGAGCCATCGAAAACTCCTGAAACTCAATCAAACTCGAAGGTGGCTCCTGCGCGCAGTTTCTAGAAGAATTACGCCTGTTAGAGTCCTGTCGAGAACGGACTGCGATTCTCATCGGAACCCCGTGAGTATGAAGGGGAACACCTCAGGAATCCCGCAAACTGTAGTCCGGAGTGGAAAACGCCGGTGAGCTCGAAGGCGTTACCCTTCACTCTACTTATCACAACACCCTCTGGGAGCTTGTCCATGCCCGAGAGGAAATATCCTCATTCGAAATTGTTCGCTCCGTCTATGTGGAGGGAAATATTCTGTGACGAATTTCACACGGCTATTGAGCTTTGAGAATATATCGATACGACATCAAACTCGATGAACTCCTGCCGTTTCTAGTTGACATCTAGAGTCAGCGAGTTGTCGATAGCCTTGATCGATCAGGATGTGAGGGGAAAGTGATTCTCCCACAACGCAAACATCCATGCGTCGTGTTTTCGCGGAATAGCGAAGCTTTCAAATGCCGGCACTCCAATCTCCCGTGCCAAGATTTCATTCGGCTAATTTCATCGCTGCTGCGTCTGAAGTTTCAGACGCGGCAGAGCTAAGTTTGGCGCAGTCGTTCTTCAGGTGTTACAAGATTTCACTGCATTGCAAGTCTTTCCTCGGTACTGGGACCGAGCCGCTCAGTCAACTTTCGAATAGACGGTCGAGCGAGCCCACGGAGTCGCAAGATATGGGGAAAGTTTCCGCGGCATAAAATTCGCTAATCGATTCTCTCAAGTCTGTCTTCGGAAGAAGTATGCCGCGGAGGATGCCTTTCACCTCGAGCGGTGAGTTTTCGCCGAGGGGGCTAGTGACACGGAGATCACCGTTTTTGCGGGAGATTGGTACTTTTTGTAGCCTTTCCAAATTATTCTTCGGCGACACGCATGCACGTGCTTATGCTCTCTGCACGCGAGACGGTCGATCCATGCATTCCTGACGTTTTTTTCCTTTCAGTTTTTTGCCTTTCGAAATCCAAGCTCTTCTCCATAAAACTCTCAATCGCTCAAGTATTTTCCCAGTGGATCCGAGGGATGACCATCACGGACTGGGAAATTAAGACGGACTTGTAACCAGGTTCCCCCAATAGTACGTCGAAGGTTCCGTGGGCGAGAATTAGCCCTGCGGACAACTTCATAGAGGCACATGGAACACTAGGCTTCCATATCGAAGTTCCGAGCATCGGAACCCTCATCCACACAGCCTCAACATAAACCTCGAGCCTGCGTCCACCCACTCTACCAGTTTCACGGTCATCTGTTAGCATCGACGTTTCCTCTTCCGCGGGAAGCAAAACTCCGCCGTTGTGGAAAGCAAAATACGTCACAGGGGAGAAATGCGTTGAGACGTACGTCGCCCTCTCGCACAGCGGTCGGAAATAATGTTGGAAACCGCCGTCGTCCACAGCGAGGCTCACGGAATTCGCAACGGAAATTCGGCATCCCAACGCCTGTTTGACGTCGACTTTCGTTTGAGAGCACACTTCCTGAAGGGGTGAGAATCTGGGAGCAGACTTATCCTAATCGCACGGCTGAGCCGTCGTCCAAGAGAACGGCGCGGCGCACTTAACCGAAAAAGACGATCGGCCTACGCGAACAGGTGCTCCCAGGCGATGGACATAAACATGACTTCTGAGAGATTTTCGGTGACGAAGAAACACCGAGAATTCGACGGCTCGAGGGGCCCACGGGGATTCAAATCCCGAATCGAGCTCCGATCCAGGACAACAGCTGACTGCACGCGAGGCTCAGTTGACAAGTTCATGGTCCAGAACTCACCTTTGGGGTTCCGAAGTATTCGAAGCGGAAGTTGAATGCTCACTGTCTTCTCTGCCTCGAATCTGACCTGCTGTGTCGAAGATAAGCCCCGAGCCGATCCCGGACGAAGATATCTTCTCCCCAAAGACAATCTCGTCGAAGATGAATTTAACCCTTCGCACGGCAAGCGCCGATGAGCTCGAATTCTGTCGTCGCTCACCGAGGACCAGTCACCTATCTAGCACTCCATTCAACAGCCTGCCACCATCAAGAAACACCATCGAAATGTATACACACACAAGGCAGCTGCAGCGGTGGCGACGGCAGCCGCCGCAGCGGAACACTCCGTCTGTCACTCACTCACTCACTCACTCACTGTGCCTTCTCCTTCGTTGTTGTTACACTGAGAAGTCGGGACAAGCGCTCGGCTCTCCGCTTGATCCCGAATCCGCACAATCACACGGAGTCTCGAGCTTACGTACGACCCGCGGTCTGCGTCATTCAATCGCGAAGCAACATTGCCGCCTGCCGGTTTGCCCGCTACATCAGCCCCTACACCGTGGCGAGTGGCGAGCTCGCCAATGATGACATTGATCCATCCCTCCGGTTTCGAACGGCGAAACTGAGATCGGGCGCTTCTTGGGCTCTTCTCGGGCTCTTCTCGGATCTCACAGATTGAGAGTCCGAGTGACTGATTATTATTTATTGTCAGTACGCAATCCTATGGTGCTGGAGATGCCAATTCGTGAAACTCTAAAATTCTGAAGCTCAGGAATCGTAAAATTCTGCACCTGACGACTCCTGGATTTGCGGAATACAGTCAGGTCTCCACAACTCGAAGCGCTTGTAAGTTGGAAATTTCGTACGATTCGATGCGTCTCACGTTCGGTAAAGTCCGCGGACCTGGCAGACAGTCGAAAGCTGCCGATTATCCCGCATACGGATTGATTCTGAACTTATCATCATGGATATTCACGCGAAGACTTGCTTTATTCTGGCGGACTGGCCTCTCGTCATCTCACGAGGGAGGTACTCGCGTCGTGTCCCTTATGCAAAGTATTCCACGCACAAGCGGCTTCAACGAGGAACAAACTACAAGGAACTTTTGGAATACAATACTTTTGGAATTTTTTTTCAGGGGCCTTCAGATTGGGAGCTCTCGCACCCTACGCCGCTCTAGGCGCATTCAGAGGCGGTTTTCCCGTGTGCGGGCATGGAGGATATGGCTGCTTCGGGAGATACGGTGGATACAGAGGCTACGGTGGATACGGTGGATACGGTGGATACGGTGGATACGGCAGATACGGCAGATACGGTGGATACGGTGGATACGGTGGATACGGTGGATACGGTGGATACGGTGGTTACGGATACTACGGCTGATTATGTAAATTTCAAAACGCTCGGACCCGAAGCCATCGCTCCGTAGGATCGGATGCTCGATTGCTCAGGACGATTCGAGCTATGTATATTGAGCGAGAAGCTGCTGTGATATATGTACTACGTATTTTGCCGCATATTTGCACAGGTATAGATATTGGGAGAGCTGAATGAGTTTCATCGGAGGAGAGTGGTTCTCGTTGTGTGGACAAGTGACAAAATTAAAAGTTCTGGATTTTCATAACTAGAGCTCGGAAGTTCAAAGGTTTCGCCATGGATGCCTATAGCCGCCTCTTCTGACGCTTTTCGATCCAAGACGCCTTTTTAGGTCCTTTCGTTTCCAATGTGATCTTTTGAGACACAAATGCTGAATCTGGGTCTCCTGGGGGAGTTCAGGGTCTATGAACGGATTCGGCGATGGATCGAGTCGGCCGACCCATGCTTCAGGAACACATCTCGCTCCCGATACAACTCGATGGTCCGCCTAGAGGTCAATTTTTGTTTTCGATGAGAAATCTCCTATCAGACGTGCGACGATTACTCACAGGCGGGACGGAATTACATGTTTTCTCATGAAACGGCACTGACGAGAGGTTTGATGCGGCATTTGCTCGGCCTAACATGCATATTTCGCCAAGTTCTTGTGCCTATTCTAAGGTATTTCAGTGCCTTTTCGCCTGCCATTTTCGAGACTTTTTGTGCCTCATCTCCGAGCTCGAATGATTTAGAATCCACAGATATAGGCACCGCGCCAGAATCTGAACTGATAAGTTCGGGGCAGCAGACAATGCTCTGGAACGAGTAACACTATCGGGACATCGCAGCAGGTCAGCAGAGAACAGCGCGAAATTCGATCTACGATACCTTTTAGCTGGGGAATTATCTTTCCCGCTGACTCCCTGGAATGCGGCCGTCAGATTTCATCCGAAAGAAACACGGCAACGCGTCCGACAGCGTACACAAGAACCTCGTTTTGAATCGGGCGACGCGATCGCCGAGGGGGCACGCCTCATCTTAGGTGAATACGGCAATGAAAAAGCTCCGGCTCCGAGTACGAGGCGAAACAGAGAATATGTTCCGCTGTCTACGCTCGGGATGGAATAATACTCGGGCAATGATAGAAAATCAGGATCACGAGGAAAGCCTAATCAATATCAATCGAGCCGACTCTGAAACGATTCCGAATTCCCTTCAATACTGGGCCTCAAGGAAGCGAGATTCATTCGCCATGATTCGCCGGTCTGGGACACCTTCTGCTTCTTTGCCCATGAACGCAAAGTAAATACATTTGGCCGAATTTTCGGAGAATTCCGTATCACTTTTCCGATGGGTTCGAGAATCTTGGAACGAACATTGGGGCCGACGAGCCAATGGAGAGAACCTACGCAGAAACTTGTGAAACGAAAAGGAGGGAAACTTCGAAGAAGCGAGCTTCCTGGAGGGCCTGGCATTCAGAACGGACAAATGGAAACGGAGCCATCAGACGCACAGTTTTATATCTAGCTTGACGAGGCCTGGTTATGATGACTTGATATGTATGAAAGTGGGATACGGACGGTTGTGTACGAAAATTCTGTGGAGAGACGGACATAACTCAATATCATGACCTCATGGCACGCAGCGCTATTATTGACCCCACTTGTGGGGAGATTGGGCCCGATATCGAAGCTATGATGTCCTTCAGCTCCATGATAGGCAGCTGTGGATCACGAAGGGTCCGCATGAAGATCTCAAGCGACCTCTCTACTCGCTGAGACAGGTACAGTTCAGGTATGGCGTAGCCGTCGAAAATATTCCCCAGGTCGCAGTTGGCGCTTGCAAAAGGCTGATTGAGCCTATCGTATCTGTGGCGCTCCGATTCGATCGAGGGAAAACCGTGAGAGTAGGGCTGAGCCTTGTTTTCCCGGCTCGGATCATCCAGTTCGAGTCGCGCTAATTCAGCGCCGGCTTCTAGCACTGCGCCTGGCCTCTCCATGGTGAACACTGTGCCGGTTTCCTCAACAGTCAATGTCATAAGTCATAACCATCTTCATTACCTCGATCTCAGCGTAGGGCTGACCGGCGAGAACATGGCTGCCGTTTTCTACCAGGAAGTGGAGTAGTTTGTCCGTCGATGGCGATCTCAGCATCGAGGGATGTTCCTCTTTCTCGAACACACATGTCTGATTGCCGATAACTACCCGATGACGATCGACTTCTTCTCTCATATAGGTAGTGTAGGAGGATCCGTGAAAAGTAGCTGTTCGGCCCGCTCTGCGAGACTTCCACCGGGTGTTTCACACCGTCGGCTTCAAGATCCACAGCGTAGGTCTTGTTCAGCGATGACATCGGCAGAATTTGACCTTTCTCGAGAGCTGCCTGGAATCCCGAAAATCAATGCAGACAGTGGCTCCAGTTGGGATGAGTTGACGCACGTAATTATATGAGTAACAGAGCGTTTCTGTGCACACTATGGCTAGATCGCGTTGTGAGCTCCCCGCGCGCAAGAGAGTTGAGGTTGTTCGAACGCTCCAGCAGGGCATGAGCCAGCGCTTGCTAGTTGCTGAATTCGGTGTGAGCAAGGGACAGATTCAATGATGTGCGAGGGATCAGGAAGACATTCTAGAAGATCGGGAAAATTTCGATCGGGCTGGGCTTTTCGCTCATGCCGTCTCTCCATTCACGATGGACCAAATCTCGGATCATCTTCTCCACACTCTTTCTGAATGTGTTCGAACAGGCTTCGCCTGCTTCCGACCGTTTGACCACTATCTTATCGCAGTCATATATCAATGAAAGCGTCTTCATCCTCTCTACGGCTTTGATTCTGGCATTGATGATGCTGATCATAGTCAGCATCCGCTTCGCCCATCTTTCGTCGGGCATCTCTTTAATGCGCTTGAAGTATGTGATTTTACATTCGGCTTCCCTCTCGTCGAAAATTGACCAGCCTAGCTCTCCTTTTGAGAACTCATTGGCTAAGTTGCGCGCTGGTTCCCCCAGCGCCCACCTGGCTGCCTGTCTTTGGGCTGTTTCGATGTTTCTCCGCAGAGTGTTCGACATGACGGAAACCGTGTTGCAGTAACCGTGTAGCGCTGGAACGCATATGGCTTCCCACTGTATATTCGTCGTTTCAGAGCAATTAAATTTCTCCGGCACTTTTGCGTTTAGTTGATATAGCGCCTTGCGCGTTCTCTCTTTTCAGATTTTTTCCTGGTCCTCGAGATAGTTCGCGTGTGTGCTTGGATAAATGCCCTAGTATTTGTAGAATCTTTTCTCCGGGATTATCTTTCCCTGAATGTATAAGTCCCTATCGGTCGTGCCGTCTACCCGATAGAATTCCAAGACCGCAGATTTAGCGGGATTGAACATGAGGCCTCTTTCCTCACCGAATGTAGACGTGGTTTGGAGAAGTTTCTCCATGTCCGACCACGGATGTGCGATTAGCACTGGATCATCCGCAAATAGTAGTCCAGGAATTTCCCTGCTCTGAATTCTATTGGGTTGGAATATGTTTTTTGAGATTCTCACGTCATAGCCTTTTCTGGATTCGAGCAGTTGCTTTTCCAGATCAGATACATATGTAGAGGAGAAATAGGGTCGGCGATAAAGCATCCCAGTCCGTCCCGTGCATCTTCTGCCAGGCAGACCATCCCCTGTTTACGTGCACTGCTCAACTCACGCATGAAGAGCATCTGGAAAGAGTGACAGCGGCGGGAGCGTGTCTACGCTCTCTCAAACTCAACTGTATGTCTAAGAACTGCAAGGAGGGGCCTACAACCAGCTGCCGCTCCCGCAATTCAAGGCATTAGGCGACCATCCACAGCATCGAAAGCACCACCGTCGAAGCACACCTCGGTAAACTTAAATAACGACCCCGACGAGGAACAAGTATTTCCCTGAACAGCCCAAGTAATCGCCGAGAGCAAAACAGAGAATCTGTAGAATCCTCATAGATCCAGGATCGGAATCCTCCCACATCACCGAAGCCATGAATCGGAAGCTCAATTCTTCCCCGTCATCTCGAGTCAATATGACAATGTCCACAGCTGGAGGTCATGTATCGAACATCCATAACTGTGGCATCCACGATATCCCCCTCCGGAGAAGATTCAACTCACTCAGAGAAAGTCCTCCATCTTACAGCAATCGAACTCCAACGCATCTCACGTTCTGAGTTCCCACCCGCCCTCCTGACGCAAAACTTCGGCCTCCATCCTACAGCCGATCTGGCGGGCAACGAGGTAAAGAATGGGTCGATATACTCCTAGGAGTGAAAACCCTCTCTAAGCTAGGATTCTCTGACCCAAGGACGTTCGGCAACATTTTCGCCTTCGAGTCTATATTCGATTGGGTATCCGGTCGAAGCGAAGGATCATCAAGGATGCACAGTCCACTTAACAAGTTCTGCGGCTTCGTATCGGCACGACCGTGTACACACCGAACTCAGAGCAAAAGGCCACAATCGCCAACCAACAACCCATCTCTCGGGGACACCGACCATCCTTTTGGAAGTCGGAGCACAATCTCGTGGAAGCGCGAATGCCGCTGGAAAAATGGGCGACCAACGAAGCGTAACTCAGCAGATACATCAAGGATACATCGCCGGTCAAGGACCCAACCATTTCCTGCAGTCTCTCTATTAAATTCTTCACTCTCATCCAATAAGTTCCTTGGAGTCCCGTGGAATCAATCCACCGACACCCTGTCGGTCTCATTGTCGAGAGCAGTCAAGAAGCTCCAATCCGGCATCCCATCTAAAAGAGATTTTCTCAGGGGATTGGCTCAGATATTCGACCAACTGGGGATAATGGGACCATCCACAATAAAGTCCAAAATATTTCTAGAACAACTCTGGAAGCGGAAACTAGGTTGGGACTCCCCTCTGGAAGCAAAAAACTAGGTTGGGAGTTGGGACTCACCTCTGGAAGGTAGCAACCTATCGGAATTCACCGATTTCAAAGGCCTACTTACCCAGGTGTTCATCGAACGACATTCCCTATTCCCCACCTTCCCGAAACCGCGCAGAGAACTAAGCATATTCTCGGACGCGAGCCTCGCAGCCTATGTATGCGTCATTTATCTTAGGGAAATCTTCAATGAAAACGAGATAAAAACGCATTTCATGATGGCAAAAGCAAAAATGAGCCTAGTCGAAGCCCTCCTCGCAGCAATGCTAGTCAGCTCACTGCTTAGCCTCAAGGACGTCAAGATGGATTCCATCCACCCATACAAAGATAACTCAAGCGTTCTGGGCTGGGTGAAGTCCGAGACAGACGGATGGAAACCATACGTCGCCTCCACGCACTGATATGCCAAGCCGAATGGAGATACCTGAAGTCGGAAGAGAACCCAGCGGACCTCATCTCACGTGGCGTGAACATCGCGACGGGCCGCAACGAAAAAGTCGAGCTAGCCGGACCACACTGGCTGTGCAGCTCCGCGCGAATCGTGTCCACGCTCCCTCCGAGCGATCACGCCAGAGACCTACACGGAAAGCGATTCGATTCGGAGCTCAAAGAAAATATTTCATGCAAGCTCTCGGCAACCAATGAACGGCTTCCAACGAACATATTTCGAAGAAAGATCCCCTTCCTGGCTCGAAGCAATCCGCTTCTTGGCTCTCGTGCAGCGGTTGATTCGGAGGGCTCAAGGAGCGAGGGATAGAGTTTCTCCGGGGATCTCGTTCCGGGCGACGCCGGTCCAACACAGAGACGTCTCGTTCTTCCCAAGCGAACTGATCTCAGCTAGGCTTTCGCTTATCCAATTGATTCAGAAATCATACTTAAAGGAGGACTTCGAGAGTGACCGCAAGGCAATCAAACGCAGCAGCACCATCTATCAGTACGACCCCTTCATCGACGAAGACGGCATTAAACGCTGCAGATCTCGCTTGGGCCGCTCACCGCACTCATCCGACAACCAGATATACCCGATGATCCTGCCTAACAATTGTCACCTCTCCAGACTCATAGTCCAAACCATTCATGAACAGAGACCCTTCCGCTTCGGGGGGTTGATCTTAGTACTCCATTTGCTGCGTGAAGATTCCCTGTTGATTCAGGCTAGGGAGATCACCCGACAGGTTCTCAGTGCAGTGATTTCCCACAGCGAGGCAGCAAATCTGCCCTCAGCCCCACTACCCCCCTTCCAACTCGAAGAAGCACCCTTTATGGCAGTGGTTCTCGAACTTTTTTTTCCGCGGAATCCCCAAAAAAACGCAAAAACCCGTGGAACCCCTGGTGGAACCCCGACTCAAGATTCGAATGGGCCATGGAACCCTGCGCGGAACCCCGAAAAAAATATTTTCCTCTATGATTATTAAAGACTGCCGGGGAGAAAGACGATTCCCAACTTTATTACTCGTCAACGTCTGGAGCTGGTTTATGTTATGCAGTGTATGAATATCCTGTCGGATAATTTTGTACTGGCAACGGAACACATCAATGTGACGGATGACCCTGTATTCTCGATGCAATCTCGGCGGCTCAGTCGGCGCTCGTTCTTCTTCCGAGAGGCTGGATTCGTGCGTCGACAGCTCGATTATGCTTTGAGCCGATCCGAGACCTGGCAATCTCAAGCACGATTTTTCCGAGATCCACAGGAAGCGAAGTTCGTTGGGAACGGATGAAAACATTTAGCGAATGGATCACAGTCGAGCAGCTGATTCGGACGGGTCGTCGAAGCCGCGAGCCTGAGAACCTGAAGCAGCACGTCATTTGTGAAAGAACGCGAGACACGCTGGGAGATGCTCTCGCATGACGATATGCATCGAGCTGCCGACTAGATTCGGGCCACGACCGGTAAACTGAGTTCTGAAGAGGAGTCTCGAGCCCGGTGTGGATCCGGTATCGGAGATGATCTCCTGAAGGCTTCGAATTCGAAGGATCAGATGCTTCATGGCGACTTTTCTGAATGCTAGCGAAACTGCCAAAAGTGCACGCGGAACCCTGGGGTTCCACGAGACAGATAACTGTGGAACCCCGGAATCGGTCCGTGGAACCCAAGGGTTCCGTGGAACCCAGTTTGAGAACCACTGCTTTATGGCACCGATCAGGTACAAAAAGGACTCCGGCGAGGTCGGGAAGAGCTACACTCCGCTCCTAACCTGCGCGGTCAGCCGTGCTACCCGCCTCGTACTAACGTCAGATCTCTCAACCGTCGAAGTCCTGGGGCAAATCACCGCGGCAGTCTCGGGAACCGACGAGGTGTAGGAGCCCTCAGCCCGGCGAACCTACTGTTCGGATATAAGGGAAATACAGTAATCCCTGAGCACCTATCGAAACCTAAGAAGGCAGCAGAAGCCGAAAAGGTCGTCTTTCTAGGGAGATGGACTTATCAACAGCACCTCGTCAGCTCGTTCTGAAAAGGATATCACGGAGAGCACCTGCAGTACCTCGAGACAGCCCACAAAATTCAGTCCCGGTAAGGCAAGTCACAGAGATCCTATCTCGAGTTGTCGTATGCAAGTTCGCGACAGGATACGGCAAGGGCTCCCCTGTTTTCATCCTAAAGATCGACCGTCACTATACTCACAACTCCCTTCCGTTCCGTCTGCGGCGACGACAATTCCCTCGACGTCTGAGCTTTTGTTTGACGATCAACGAAGCGCAAGGAAAATCGTTTTCTCGCGTCGGACTTGCTTTGCAAGAGCCAATCTTCAGTCACGGTCAACTTTACGGTGCCTCATCGAGGGCCACAAGTCGAGCAGGGATCTCTGCGAGCTCGCGGAGCTGCTCCCCGTTTTTTGGTAAAAGAATCGAGAAAGGTCAGACGAGATTTGAAAAGTTTACTCAGTTAATTTAAATGATGACAGTAGGGAGTTCGCTGAAATTTCCCATGGCGTTCAGTTGGTCATATGAAGTTTCGACAAAACAGCGACCGCCATGTCATACGGCTTGTTCGGGGTACTCGGACTCCTTATGATCGGGAGCCGGGTGACCGGTGCCGATGATGCTGATGAATTCATCGTTTCATTCAATCCATGTGGTGAGTATTTCAAGACAGAATTCGTTCGATTTCTTATGAAAATCGCCGGGTAGAAGTCGACGCCCTTCGGGTGGGAGCCGTATCAGCCACCTGCGACGTCTCTTCAATGCTCTCCTCTGGATGCTTTCTTCTTTGCAGCTCACGGCCCGGAGTTCGCGGAGCCGTTCGCAGAGTGTTCCTTCGAGGCTTTGCCTCCGAAAGTGTGTTCGGTCTTTAGAAGGGTTATGCAAGGTTTCTGACAACTGACATCACATAAGAGTTTCTCGTTCACGGGTGGCTTACGGTACCTATCGTGATCTCGCAGGCAGCCGAACGGGCTCGAAAAAAAATCTACGGTGTGCCGGGGCTTACGGCGACCGAAGTTTTCCTTCTGGTGTGCAGAGCGAACAAGAACGAGGGCGCGATGCTGGTAAGTCTCCCGTGAGAAGAATGGA